AGAGAGAGAGAGAGAGAGAGAGAGAGAGAGAGAGAGAGAGAGAGAGAGAGAGGGTATGTGCGTGTGTGTAGTGTACACACACGCTTTTCTTTCATTAAGTCAGTGTACATTTGACGTTGACAAATGGCCAAAAGACAAGAAAAGTCATTTAAAACGACTTTGAAGAGTTACAGGAAGGGAAAAAAATGAAAAGGATTTCATAAACGTGTACCAGAGATATGAAATAGAATTGCAGAGGGAAAACTTAGCTGAAGAGAAAAAGAAAACAATACGTTATTTTTATTGGAAAACGTTCAGCGTGCTAGACAGACAGACCTTCACTTATATATTATATACATATTTTCAAAAATAGCCTTTGCTAGATAGTACAATTGTGTGTAATAACCCTATTCTCTTCTGATTAAAATTTAGTTCTAAAACTAACTCCCAAGGTCATGTAGAGAGAAATAATGAAGACGTCCGTTGACCTGCTATGCTAAACATAGGCAATTTTCTAGCTTACACAAAAGTACTTGGATAAAATATGTAACATTCCCCTCAGTGTCCCCGTGCTTTAAGATCGTATGTCAAATATTTTGGAGAAAAATAATCTTACATAAGTTCTTACATAAGAAAATGACCAAATCTTCACTGAAAAAGTTTAAAAACACAACGAAACCCGCTTATATCCTTTTTCTTGCTACATTTGCAAAGGAAACTACAGCTCAGTTAATGTTTTTTCTCGCACTAAATAATTTAGGAAGGCATTAAATAATCAGTTTCCTTCACCCCAAAAAGGTAATAGATCAATATTAGATGTGACCAAGTATTTAAGATTTATCTTTTTGAAAGTCTGTGACTAAGAGGCTGCCTAGCCGATAAAGTCGTTTTAGAAACACCCCTGCCTTTTGTAGGGAGTAATGTGATACGTCCTGAAATCTTCTCTAGTTATAAGTATTCAACAGGTTTCTTCACTGCCACGCAAACGTCTCCCCACTCATGCCTATTTGGATTTCCATTACCCCCACATTAGAAAATAAAACGATTTCTTAAGGGCTCGAGCGTTGTTTTTAAACAGTTAGTTACGTTAGAGTTTAGCAGCTTTTTTTTTAATGAAGGCAATGATATCACATAAGGAAGATTCAGAAACCTAAACCAGCGATGGTCTCATTAGATATTGAACTAAATCATCCTAAATGCAAAGTAGAAGAACAAATCGGAAGCGATCCAACTCCAGGGGAAATAGCGAGAACATGGATTCACTGTAGCAGTCACTTCAAGCACGACAAATATATGAGCAGGGAAATAGATTGTTTTAAAGGGGTATTGCAGCACAGAACTTTAACAATAAAAGTCCCGTCAAACTGTTGGAACTCTCTGATAGATTCTGATAGATGACCCCAATTTCAATTCAGATCAGGAAAGAGAATGCTTTTTAAAAATGCTTCTATTGGCAACATTTTTTTTGTCTGTCAACGTCCTAAATCAATTATTTCCCCCTACTTTTGTAGATTCATTTTTAAACGGATGTAACGTTAGTTTGAACAGTAAATGTAACAAATAAGCCTGCAAATGGTTATTAACTAGTCTCCGATCCTCACGATTTGTATACTACCTTAGAATGATATGAGAGGCAAGTGCAGGAATCTATACTAATCAGAGGCTGGGTGAAACATATTAACAAGCAATATGCATCTTGCTGCATTAACTAACTAACACGTGAATAGCTTGATTTGCAAGCTGGAAGGTTCGGTATTTTGCTAAAATGACAGTGAAATGATGAACTATATAGAGGGCGTCTCTTCCTTTGCACACATCCTGAACAACAAATTAAAACGGAAATGATGACTTAAAGTCACAACGATCCGAGCAGGAAGAACTTGTTTAACGGGAGAAGAAGTGAGACTAAATCAAATACTTTACTGTCACTTTTGTATGTGCTGTCAAGTAAGTTGCTGTCAGGCTCTTTAACTAGGTTGGACTCTGGCTTGGGAGCCTAGTCTCCAGGGGCTGTAATTAACAAGCTGTCTGGAAGCACCAGAGCTCATCAAGCTGCTCTGGCCAAGAGCGAAGCCCCTTTCCAATAGGCCAGGTGCACCCTGACGCCCGAGCGGAGGTGCAGCTGTGGAAAAGTTTTGCACGTTGGATATTTCTTGAGCGAGAAATCCAGAGGAAAGAGGGGGGAAGCGATCTAAAAAGGGTAGTTAAGGAAGAGATCCACCTTAAAGGGAAAAGAGGAGTACGGGGACTTGGGAGGGACATCGGTAGAAATGAATCCCGGAAAAGTTACAAGGCGAAACGAAAACCTAACTGGGGAGTTCAGACACAGCAACACAGGAGAGCGCAGAATGAATCTTCTAAGAGGGGAAGAACAAGGTGACCTCACAGCTGTAACATTATACAGGTTCCGGGGATCTTACAAATTGAAGTAGGACAAACCGTAGCTCAGTAACTAACTTTCCCAAAGTGATCGGCGTCTTTCTGACGCAGGCAGCAGCCTCCGAGGGAAATGGGGTTTGGCTGAACTAGCTGAAGGAGTGACAAAGTCGTGGCTGAAAGTGAACTCAGAACTAGGCGCTGTCCGTGGTGCTAAGGCGAGAGACAGAACAGCCTCACGTGTCACTTCACTTCGTTTTGCCATGGTTTCGGACCGAGTCCTGGACGAGTTAGGGGCATAGGGACGACAGAAAAGCAGAGAGTTCGTTTTTCATCCTTGTGAAATCACTTTTTGCCATACATTCACAGTTTAAACACCATCCTTCGGTAGTTCTACTCTTTTCCCCCATTCCCTTATAAGCCCGGACTTTAGTCATACTTTGGAAGTGATAATTTACAATGTTGTACTTTAAAACATAGCTTTCCACTTTCGCACGAGGAAGTCTTTCGAGGCAGATAAAGGGAAGCTGGGCAGATGTTCTTCAGATTCAGACTACTAGATAAAGCGTTTGAGCAAATGCAGAAGCATTTTTCAGTTTCTATATGACATAACAATATGCATGTACAGTCCAGGTAGGATCCAGAGTGACATTTAACAGAGATAAACGGTAGAAAAACTAATCCATTTTACAAAGTCATTTGCTATAAACATTTTTCAAATTTGCTCCTACACTGATTTGTTACATGATGATCCTTGGGACAAATGGGGACAAAATCAGGCTTAGTATTTGCAAACTACCTGAAAACGCACAAATAAGGTTATAACTGCTATAAAGAATTTCTTTTGCGCTTGATTATTCTTATCCCGTTTGCACTTCCCCTTACAGAAGTTAATTGTTACTTTGAGTCATAGAACAGCTGACAGGTACTAAATTATGGAAAAACATGAAAAGTATTGTAAGAGCTAACACTACCAAATAACTGGAACCCTCGTTTTTTTCCCCAGCAGCAAGTAAAAATTAAATTAACAATGTTTTGGCAGGAAGCGGGAGGGGGGGGGGAGAGATTTCAAATTCAAAGAGAATTTTAAGTGCATTTAAAAGAAAAAACGAAGTGCGAAATAATCAAAAGATCAGTCTTTAGCTAAGAAACTAACGCTTCATTGGAAACTAGAGCCCAACTTACACTTGTAAGAAAGGGGACAAGAATCAGAAACAACTGGCACATGAGCAGCCACTGGCAGCATCTGACTTGATGTTTGTTACCAACCACCAGATCAATATTTGCAAGATCCTATAGTTTTAATGGTTTTGCTCTCAAAAGTGTATATAAGCAACACCTGGGCATAAGAGCTGTTCCAGGGGCTCACAGCAAAGTACTTTGCTAAGGGGGAAAAACAAGATTTTAATCATTTAGTAAGCCAAGCTTAGCAAGAGGAGGTGTGAAACTGTCCGGGGTGGGAGAAGCGATTTATCTAATTGTTGTGTCAAAGATTCCAAGCTTTAGAGAAATAGTTTGAAGGCAAAAGTATAGAGATACTAGTTTGCCAGACAGTAGGGGATTAGGTGGGGCTTGAGTAAAGAGAAGTGAAAATGACAAAAGAAGAAAACCCAGGCCTTGTCTCCAAAGGGTCATTCCTCTCCTGTGTAGAATTCAGTGGAAAATAACTGACTTTTGTCTCGGTCGGGATCAAACATTCTGGACGCTTGTCCCCTGGAAATAGTTATATTTACCTGACCTTAATAGACTCGTATAGTTGCAAAAAAAAAAAAGTAGTTAACTATTTAATTTTAATTGCAAACATTTGCTGTCGGGTTCTCGATTTAATGAATTTCCTTATAAAGTTTTGAAAAAAGGATCCAAGATGCAGATACATAATGCAGCAATATACTCAGGAATCAGTGTGCTCACTTTTCTTCTCCTTTGTCTCGTCATTTGATGTTTGGCTATATTCATATTCCTTTTATTTTGTGTGTGTTACAGAACCCCCTGGAAGTCTTTTCGCAAAGACAAGTATCAGGCATGCCTAAGAATGAAACAATTCTTGGTGGGGGTGGAAAACGAAGTCAGTTTTTTTCCAATAAGAAAAAAAAGGTGAGAAGTATCGTTGTCTTCTCTATCTATTAAAAACAGCCATTTAAAAATCACTGCTAGTTAAAATTCCTTTCAGATATAGACGTAACTAACCAAGTTTTAAGGGTGAAAAACTTTGGCAGAAACCAGATTCCTCGAGATAAGCACGTTCATTCATTTGAAATAACGTGGCATTCTTTATCACATAGCCTTTTTTCTCTTCAGATTCAAAACTGTACAACTTTCCAATCTATTTATTTTACATGACGCTGACTGAGTCGTCTGTACCTGGTAAATGGTAAGAAAATTAGTACCACATGTTACCTGAACTGAACCGTTTCACAACGTTCCTTTTAAAAGTGCGTTTCGTGGCAAAAGGGCTAAGAGACCCCAAACACAACCTATGAAACCCAATTAAATCCCCCAGAAGCAGGACCACAGCATATAGTCAAAATTGCCATGATTTTATAAACAAAAGTAACATTAACAGTGCTTTAAGAAAACGCTACAGAGCGCTACCACTTGCTGGTTACCTAAAGCTCTGAGCCCCTGAAGTTTGAACATATAGATTTTAAAAATGAAATAAAACCTACATGATTTTATAGGGTTTTTTTCCCCTTTTTGGGGGGGGGGAGGGGGATCTTTTATAGTTTTACTGCTGGTTTGTGGGTCTCACTAAAGACATTCTTCTTCACAGGAATACAGTTTTATCAAGTTGAAAATTCATAGTGTGTCATAACTGGAGCATGCGATTATTGTGCAATTGATGGACCAGAACAAATCCTGTTGCACAGAAAATCAATTTTGTTCATATTTATGTCGAATTGTGTGTGCATTATACAGAGAGAGCGAGATCGAGAGTGCGCTCCAAACAAGGAATAAAACTTGAAACCCTCCCTTAACTATATGTCAGATGGGGCGGGAGGTCGATGGTCCAAATCATATTTATCTTTTTTGTTGTTGCTGCTGTAAATCTGAGTTACAGTATTTAGAATAGCGAAGTTTCCAAGTGCAATAAAGCTGCTTGTCTAAATCTACTTTGAAGTAATGCTAGTGGGTCTAAACTCCAGATCTTCGTGTTAATCTCTAGTTTCTGCCTTCAAACAGAACTCAGTTACAAAGAGCTTGGAAAGAGTTTTGCATCTATTTAAGGGGCACAAAATCTTTAATTTTCTGAGGAGTAAAAACTCCCCAAGAAACTTCATATAGCTTCTTAGGTTTTGCTTAGCATACGTGATAAAACATTGATTGTCGCAGTTTGGTGACCCATGAAATTTGGGGGTTAGTTTTCTCTTCAGACCAGAGCATATAATTATGCAAATAAAGAGCTGTCACTGATCTAGTGAAATACTCACAAACACATGCAATCCAAAATGGGACAGAAAAGTGAAAATTTGTGGTCTTATGATGGGTGGTACAGTGACAAATGACATCTCCTACCAAGTTTCTCGAGAAGTTCATTTTTCACACAGTATCGAATATGTCAACATAATGCATGTTAGAGAGAGAGAGAGAGAGAGAGAGAGAGATTGAGATTCTTGGAAGGTTATTTTTATTTGGATTGACTTTAATGTAGAGTACGGTGCAATATTTTCTTAGATATGACACTTTTCATTTGTACTTTTGAGTGAAATTCCTAGAGGGAAAAACATTTAGTGTTGTGTGTCAGTGACAGAAAAGATATGCGCTCATTTTCTATTAAAGCCCCCACACCTTCCTTTGATTAAGACCGCAAAAGTCCAATCCAACTTATTTCCTATAATCAAAGTGTTGAAAATTATAAATTCAGCTGAAGAGTTATTCCCAGACGGGCTATGTTTGAATGGCTAAACAAATTGGAAGTTTTTCTAACCCCAACTGTTTACTAAACAGTGTGAACTATATTTTAACAGTAAAAAATGTACTATTTGGCACAATGTTTAAGCGCTTATTTTCCCACCCAGTCATTTTAAACCTTTCAAAATTGCGAGGGGGGGGGGAGGAGGAAGGTGCAGGGTTCAGCCTTGTGATTCAGTTACAATGTGTACTCATTTGTGACAAACTAACGAGACCCCTTCAAATTCAATCCTCCTCTTACATCTTTTTTGCCATTTGGGTCTCCCGGTCCCAAAGTTACCATTCCACAGTCTGTTGCATAATTTCAGATGTCATGGAGCTTCCCAGTGATGAAATCTGAGAAGGCTCATGTCAGACCGCTGACTGCTAAAGACATCACTACATGAAAGATCAGTGGTGTGAAACTTTAAAAACATCGATCCAAATGAATCAATTAAATCAACATTCATCCCTCCTAAGTGTGGTTTAAGACTATAATTGTTATCTTTTTACACTACACAGATTTGGAGATAAACGCTGGAATGCTTTGATGGTTTCATCTATTCTAGAATCACTGTTAATCGACTTTGTGTTATTTTTCTCTTTCAACAGCTTATGCTCAGAGTGAACATTCTTCATATTTAGGACGCTCTATGTTGCTTCCAGTCTAACCCAGGATGACAAAGCTGCTGCTTTAGCCAGGAGGGAGCGGAGGCTTTGTTAAGTGTTGCTTACAACTTTTTCCCAGGCTCAAACTGATCTTTATTTTATTTTATTGCATTGAGATTAATGGACTATTAGTTAAAAGGAAGAGAAACAATTCAAGAGGCTCCCTGTTAGTCACTCTGGTACAAGCAAGGAAAAAAATCCATATTCAAGTGGATCCAATTCCTGGATTCTGGATCTGATACACATTTTGGTAGTAAAACAGGTCCCGCCTACCGTCCTCCTCTTTTTCAAAGATAAGAAACTTTAACTAGATACGTTTGGGTACCGACAGCTTAAATGACTGCAAAGCCCAAGTATGTGGTAAAATGTTGATAAACCATCGAAGTCACTATAATAACCATGCATCATTAACTTGAGTCTCTCCATTTGGGCTCTGGAAGCAAACGAGTGCTAAATGTGTTTGTTTCCTAATAAACAAGCGGAAATAGGAAGAACCCAACTAGTGGTCTTTCCCTTGTAACTACGGAAGCAGGATGGCACTTCCGCTCTCCAATGATCTCAGTTGACTCCAGTCTCTGAGTAGTTTTGGTACACTAATAATACATCACTTTTTTGTCTTTGATGACTAGTCCCTTAATCCCAAATGCCCTTTACGGTAAGGAGAGAACCAAACAAAGCAAGAAGTGAAGGTGATTTTCTTTTCCCACTTTTAGGAAGAGGGAGTTGCTAAATTTGTAAATTACATTTTTATATCAGAACAACCGAGCATCCATTTTCAATTCCAAAATATCTAGGAGAGGAGTTTTTTCTTATGCTTAACCATCTAAAACATATAGGTGTAAGCAATGTGAAGTCAACAAAGACTAAAGGGCTGTCATGATAAGTTGACATTAGGCTATTACCATGTCAACAGAGTCAGACCACCACCAGTAAGATTTAAACTATTGATATGTTATTGCGCTATTCAGTGTTGGTTCATGTTTTTATTAACATCTACAAGCTGCTTTGAAGAGCAAAATGTTTCTGAGGAAACAACTGCACATTAGAAGAGAAAAGATTTTTATTATTATTTTTAAAGTGTAAACAGAAATATACAATTCATAAGAACTCCCTGCAGTTCTTTACATAAGCAAAAACGCAAGTCAATTAGGGCACGAGAAAGACACTTTTAAAAGGGTATTTATTACAGCAGAATTTTTTTGCACTTAATTTCCATTAAAATAACAAAAAATAGATTAATTCTGTGATATTTGGCACCTTGGAAAATCCCCTCATGCATTCCCAGTGGTAAGAGTTTGACGGTTGCAGGATTTGTTTGAGAGCTTTTTTTCAACCCCCCCCCCCACCCCGTCTCTGCATTTAAGCACAGAACTACACATATGAAATGCAAATCAACGAGTTAAAACCGTATTCACATGATACACTGTTCAGAGTGGAAACAAACCCGGGAAGAGTACAAACGGCGTAAATGGGTGACAGGCCAGCCCCAGTAGGTGGCCAGCACCGACAGCATGAAGTTACTTGGGGAGAAATGAGGTGAACCATATTATTACGTCTATACAGCAAACCCATCATCAACAGGTTAAGTTGAGAAATATGATTACACTGGAAGCTGCTCAGTGGCAGACGTGGATTTTGCTTTGCCTCCGTTTGGGAAGCTCCACAGCTTGCAAAACCCCTCGTGTCTTGCTTGCGAAAGTCTAACTCAGGAAACACAATGACCTCCATGTGTAAGGGCCATTTACAAAAGGGAGTGAAGCTATAATGGAGAGAAGACTGCGGATTATAGCAGGCAATTTTACAGTGATTTTCTCTTGTTACAAGCGGAGGTTGCTGAAAGAAGTAATGTGCGAACTGAAAAACACCCCAGGTTAGCTAAATGCCTGGTGTATATACATGGAGTATTACAGCTGGCTAACTGTGACCCTCCAACACTGAGCACTGCACACACTTTATGAAACCAAAGAAAAGAAGTTAGCAAATAAAATGGAAAGATCCGGAAGAATCTCTCCTTACACTGAAGTGACATGATTCGGTTACTGGCACGTTTACTCTAGACAAAATACATTGAAATCCACATTAAACACTTTAAAACATCGTATTAACAACAATAGCCCCCTACCCTCACCCTTTCCGTACTGAATTCCTCCATTCAACTCCGAAATGGGAAAAATTACATTAAAAAGGGGTCAATATCACAAACCCATGTGGTGGCTGCCGACGATTTGACTGGTTTGAAGTAACACAGCAGTTGGATGAAATACCGTTTTGATTTTTGTCCTTTGCCTCTGCTCTAATAACATCAGAGGCGATGCAGACATGACCACTGAAGAAAAGATCACTTTAATTTAGCTTCATCAAACTATAAGACGTAATTAGTGCACTTGCATGCCAGACACGGTATCAGGCACATATTGTTGCTTATCAGACATTAGCCGTTAAAAGTTGCTGACATCAGCTACTATTACTAAAAACACTTCCCTCCGAGGTCTGCAATTTCAATGATTTTCTGAGCGTTTAAATTCGGTGAAACTGGCTGTGTATTTTACCAGGTGTGTAAGGCAGGAACATTATTTTTGCAAACACTTTGAAAGAAATATGGAATCTAGGCCTGTGTTGAATCAAAAACTAATTACAGGATGATGAGGCATTACAGTTATTAAAAATTCCGAATATGAAAATGTAAGCATATTTGAATTAAAAAAAAATCAGCAAAATCAGTAATTCATGACTTTTTATTTATTTATGCTATCATAATTCACAGTGTGGTCCAGACGGTTGCTGAATTGGTAAAGTACAAAGCAATTGGCATTTTAAGGTAGAACTTTCAAAAGCAAATGGAGTTCTACAAATAATGCCAAAGAAGGAAAAAATCTTTATACAAAGAGACTTTCCCACAAATTTGGACCAAAGTTCTTGGACCCCTTATCTGCAGAACATGGAAAGTATGAAGAGTTGATCCCATTTGGTCCCAGAGAAGAAAAGACTATTGATTGTAAATATTTTTTTTTACTATTCAAAATTATGTCCCTCTTTAAAAAGAGTAATTTATATTTTGCTTTGTCTCAAAATAGACATTCTATTAGAATAAAAAATAAACGTATCAACCAAGTTCTAAAAGTAAATTTTAAATACAGGTATTTAATCTATGTTACAATTTTCACTAAAACATGTATTACAGCTCGTGATTTAAAATTATTCAGAGATACAAACTCTGTAAAAATGGGAATCCTAAAATCACGAAGCAAAAGATTTCAGCATAAATAGCATCGGTTCATTTTGGTTTAAATTTAGTCCTTTCCTTCTGTAATGTACAGATTTATTAGAAACCTTATTTTAAATTCAGAGACAGTCCTCCATAGAAATACCTATTCATTAATTTATTATTTCTTAGGAGCTATTTTATGCACAGTCTCTCCTCTGGTCTCAAAAGAAAAAAAAAGATATGGTTAGAGCTACAGGGAACAATTCATATTTATAAATCCAAATACTACACCATCGTCCTTGTGCTATTTTTAAAATTTAAATTGAGTCATTATGGCTTAAATAACCCCCCTAAAAAGCACAAACAAAAATATTCCATTGTTAGAAAGATATCTGAGTATTTTAAAGGCTGAAGAAGAGTAGGGAGGAGGAAGAGGGGAGAGAAATCTACCTGGATAAATTATTTAAAAGCAATTCGGTTAAAAATGCATAAAACCTAAAGTTTGCTCCTGTCAGAGAAAGCAAGCAAGCAAGCAAGAAAAGTGAACCCTGGAAGGAAGCAGCAAAAATCCTGTAGGCGATAGGACCACGAAGAAGCTGTTAAACTCTGGCATCAGCTCGGTGCAGGGCTATGTCAGGGCAATTAGAGCTGCACCATGCTGCACTGTGCAGTACTGCTGTCAGCCTTAATCTGCGCACTGATGGGCAGCACGAAATCCAAGCTACAGCCCACAGGAAGCACAACCAGTGAACCCATATTGCTTTGACAGTTGCACTCATCTAGAAATAATGCAAAACGCTATTTAGATGTATACATCACGACCCTGTGCTCTAGGAAGAAAACAATCTAATGAGGGGCTGGGAGTCTGCTTGCAGAAAACAAGCAGCAATGAGATGTTTTTCTCCTCTTAAAGCTCTTCGTATTTGATTCTGTTGGAGCGTCGTGTTGGGGCTAGTTTGACTGAACTGTTCTTTGCCTCGGATGCTTCACTGAAGAATTTGAAAATAGACGGAAAACTCTTCCAGGAAGTTAGCTCATGACGTTCGGTCCCTGCAAAATAAAAATAAAAAAAAGAATAAAAAAATAAATCACAGTTTGATTTGGTTTGGGGTCGTTTTGTTGCTGCAAGTTCAAGTCATAGTTCAGCATAACACACATAACAAAATAAACGTCGAGTGCTATTTGCTGGTCCCTCTCAAAAGCTCCATGTTTCAGTCTTACGAGAGGGACTTGAACAAATTGGTGTCATTAAAGACCCCCCTTCTGATCACAACACTCACAGGTGTATTCTCGTGTCGAGTACTGTGCAGGGTTTTAGTTATACACGTTGACTACATGATATGAAAAGAGCAGAGCCATGCACTAAAAACAAGACAGAAAAGGGAGTGTGCTTATTACTTTTCCCCACACAAACTCTGGCAAGCGAAGCCTTGTCAAGTACCGTCCCAGAATGGAGTCACTAAAGCACATTTAAAGTCCTTTTATTCCACAGCGCGCTACGGACTAACCATGCATTCTGCCAAGTAACCTCAACAAGCGAATAAGTTCATAAGGTAAAACACACATTACATTATATAACCTCCTGGTTTGTCCCAGAGCCTCCACAACTGAGATAACGCGTGCTGTGACTTCTGTTTACAGGGGAGCCTATCATTACAAGACATTCTCAGGAGATGGGGAGAACTATGAAGTCCATCGGGAGCTAACAGCGAACACTTTATTTCATTCCAACTCCTTCAGGGTTCACAGGCTCCGAAAGAGTCCTGGGTAAAAACCAGAATCCCACTGCTAAATTGCACCTGCATTTCCAAGGTCAATTTCATGAAAGGAGCTAAGTGTCTGGCCCAACTTTAAGACAACGGAATTTAGTTTTTAGGACATAAGTAACCGCTTCTGTAACTGAATCCCGGTTCCCCTTTGGCATTGATTTAAACAGAGGCAGTCAGAATAGATGGCTTTAAACAACAAACAATGATCACTTTCACCAGCCCTGTTACCAGTAAGCCCGTACACGGTACCCAGGCAGAAAAGTGAACCCTTTCTGCGTTCCTTCCCCCAGCGTAAAAATGCATTTGTGTAAGCTGCATTATGCGAATGTGTTTTTACTGTCTTACCCGTGGGCCCTTAACTGCACGGCACATTTATTTCTATAAATAAAAAACAAACAAACAAACAACAACAACAACACCCCACCCTCTCATACAGATAAGGAGCCAAGTGCTCTGAAAGAGTTGGGATCTCTTCCTAGATAACCCAATTATGCAGAGATGCTGCCTGGAAGCCTCTGGATCCTGGGCCTCCGTTTGATACTTTAACATTGTTAATGATAATTCTTTAGTCTGTAATAGTAGGTCATTGCTATGGTTACTCTACAATGGTGCAACACTTCGCTTTCCCCTTCAGCTATTCGCTGAGACCTGGTAACCACATTTGTTGCCTAGCAACAGTTTTGTGACAGTATCACAATCTGGGAGTTACAACAATAAAGGACATGATGGCCGTGGACTGCCCAGAGGAGAGGTCTATAGTGTGGGGTGGGTGGGTGACTTCGCAATGAGAGTGGCCCCTAAAAGAGCTGCTACTGACAACTTACCCTGAGTCCTGCAGCAACACACAGAGACAAGGGAAGGCATTGCTAACAAAGACACTCCACACTGCTATCCCCCTACAGACACTGTTTACACAATGACAATCCACCACCATACATATATTCCTTTCACAGACACCACCACTCCCCACACAGATACCCCCCTTCAGAGACACCCTTTGCACACACACCTCCCTCACCCTAACACATATATCCCCCAATGCTGATGCACTTTTCAAAAACAATTCACTACACATGTCCACCCGCAGAAACCTTTTACTGAGACAATCCACGGGACACATAGATATCTCCCCACCCCATAAACACCTTTCACAAAAAGGCAATCAGCTAATACACACACCACTCCTCCACCTTTTAGAAAAGACAATCCACATCACATACATATACCTCCCTCCAAACACAGACATCCAT